GCATTTTTCTCAGAGAGTGATGATTAACGGGTCCCTTTCTAACTGGGAGGAGGTCACAAGTGGGGTACCCCAAGGCTCAGTCCTCTTCAATATTTTTATTAAGGAATCTGATGAGGGAGTGCAGAGAATGCTTCCCAGATTTGCAGATGATACCAAATTGGGTGGAATAGCTAATACCCTAGAAGACAAAAACAAAATTCAAAATGACGCTGATAGGATGGAGCATTGGGCCAAAAGCAACAGAATGAAATTCAAGAAGGATAAGTGAAAAGTCCTGGACTTTGGAAAAAGAAACCTATTGCACAGTTACAAGATGGAGGATACCTGGCTCAGCAAAATTACGAGCGAGAAGGATCTTGGAATTGTCGTAGATCACAAGCTAAATATGAGCCAACAGTATTCTGTGGCTACAAAGAAAGCAAATGCTATTTTAAGCTGCATTAATAGAGGTATAGTTTCCAAATTCCACAAGGCGCTAGTCCTCCTCTATTCAGCACTGGATACCACATTTCAAGAAGGATGCTAACAAATTGGAACTAGTCCAGAGGAGGGCAACAAGGATGATCAGGGGGCTGGGAACCAAGCCTTATGAGAGGAGGCTAAAAGAACTGGGCATGTTCAGCCTTGAGAAAAGAAGACTGAGGGGTGATATGATAGCACTTTTCAAATATTTGAAAGGCTGTCATACAGAGATCAGCGGCAAGATCTGTTCTCGATCATCCCAGAATGCAGGACACGCAACAATAGGATGTTAGAGGAAGCCAGATTTTGGTTGAATATCAGGAAAAACCTAACTGTTAGAGCAGTACGACAGTGGAACCAGTTACCTTGGGAGTTGGTGAGTGCTTCAACACTGGAGGCATTCAAGAAGAACTTAGATAATCACTTGGCAGATATGCTTTGATTGTATTCCTGCATTGAGCAGAGGGTTGGACTTGATAGCCTTGTAGACTCCTTCCAACTTCACTTTTCTATGATTCTATGATATGCCCCTCATTGAGAATGCCTTGTCTAGAGCATCCTTGCATTCATTATGGCTTGAGATGCGAGTCGGATATATACAATTATCCTAGAAGTTCCTTTTCTAAGTTCCTTATCTAAGGGAAACACTGTTTTAGCCTGTGATACAACCAGCACACTTATGTATATCTGCTGAGAACCAGGTTCCCCTGAGTCCAGGAGGACTTAACTACCAGGTGAGTATATAAAGGATGACAGCCAATACCACTTTAAAGACCTTGGAAAAGTTGCATCACTCTTTGCCTTGCTGGCTTACTGTATAGGGTAGAGTGTTGAATCATGAGAAACTAAAAAGTCTTCAAAAAGATTCACGTATGCATCTAACACAGAGGCCAAACTCCTGTTAATTCTGCTATGTGCACAAATGGTCTGTGTAAGTGAGAATTCAAGCCAAAATTACTGGAGAAAATAAGGCACACTCTGATTATAGAGCAACTATATTTTTGCAAACAGGATTTTGTTGATAATCTTACGAAATGAAAAATTCTTTACATAGTTACTCTAGTGTAATACAAACAGTGCAGCTTTTGAAGGAGAACTGCCCAGGTTAAGAAATTACCACAGACGTATCGTGTGCCAAGTCAGATAAGTCAGTGCGCAACAGGAAAGGTTTATAGTGATTTCTTGAATTGAGACAGTTCGCCTAAGATTACAAACATTTGCATCAAAATAACTCTGCAAGAGAGGTTGGTCACAGAAAGACAACTGATGTTGATTTGGTTTTGTTCGTGAAATGTCCTGCACCACATACAGATGGTTTGCTTCTCTTCCGTACACCATTTGGGCCTTCAGTAGATTTAATTAAAACCGAGTACTTCAAGAAAACAATATGAATTGGCCAAAGAAAGTCAAGAAATCATAAAAAGTTTATTTATCATATATATAAATGAAAATGCATGTTATGTTTCAGTTCTGAAACTATGAAACAAAAATCAGGCTCAAAACAGATCACACAAGTAATGACAATTTACCATGATCCATATACTCATTATAAATAAATAATTATTTGACTGGCACATTTATATACAACTTATTGCTCCTCCAAAATCTGAAGTGCAAAGTTCACAAAAAAAAAACAGGCAAATTCTAAAAAGTGCAGTTGAACTAGCAGCATCAATAGTTTAGTCCACAGAGGAAAGAAGAAAAATCCAGATTTCACTGGAATGTAGCTATATTAATCAGATTTTTTCCTGTCTTCATGATTAAAACCATAAATCTTATATAAAATACATTAATTTAAAAAACAATAGAAAGTTATTTCCTGCTTAAGACACCTACATTTTTGTCAATGTCTTTACAAAATGAGGTAGTCATAGTTTTGAGTGGTTATTTTTTTTACTTCCCCTCAGCTGAGTTTTTACTGTGACAGATATTTGGGCCTGGCACAAATATTTGTCACAATACCTGTGCCAAGAGGCATCTAGTACATGTCTAGTTGCCACACCCCATCTGGCTTCAGCATACTTGTTACTTTATTGTTTATTCCAGGATCCTGGATATATTCTGATCCTGAAATATTCTCTTCAACAAAATGACATACATTTTTTTTAACTTTCTAAACTGACCTTGATCTAAATGAAGGAGGGAGGATTCAATTCATACTGGATATATAGCCTATCTGCTTTCAGAAGGTGTAACATCTAAGAACATGAAAAATTATAGTAATATGGCAAAATAAATTTGCTTTTCAGCAGTGTCTTGGAAAAGCATCTCCTTTCATGTGTTACATCAAGATGTTCATAAAATAGTTTTTACCATCCAAAACGGGCTAGCCAGCAGCCCAAATAATTCCCATCACAGATGTACTAAATGTTAAATATATAAAAAGCCAAGATTTTGCACATGTATTCTAAAGACATAACCAGAAATAGCATTAAAAAAACTAACTAGGAATCGTCAGAAATAAAGGGAAGTAAATATTTGCTCAAAGGAGCGCAAGCCCCACATTAAATAGGCTCTTGTATAACCTAATTCGCTTGATGTGAAACCGGTCAGTGCAAATAGCACCAAACAATTTGCAAATATTCAAGTTAAAGGCCATATATGAAGTGTTGAGGACCAAGAAGTCATTTTTAAAAGTTGGTCTGATTTGCTATTGACGAAAGCAATCTGATCCATCAGTGAGGAATGGATGATTCCTCAGGACTGGCACATGGCAGAGGATATTCACCATCATCTGTTTGCCTGGTAGAAAAAAACACAAGCAACATTAGAAAATTCCATCTAGAAGTACAGTACTATACTGAGTTTGTATATTTTCACAGGGCCCATTAAAATCAGGGACGTGCAACACAGCCCCTGCTATTTTGTGACCTCCCAGAGCATCATCATTGCTACAGAATCAGTAGCAGACACCAACAACCAAGCTTCCTCTTTTCCTTCCTGCCACTTCTACCAAGGCAACAGGGATGGAGGGCTTTATCGCAGAGCTGTTCTAGCTGGAAAGGAAAGGCCCATGCACTGCTTGTCTCCCCATCCCTTGCAATAATCAAAAAGCTAAATGTCCTGAGGGGGAGTTCCCTTCCACCCTCTTCAAATCTCTATGACTCTTCCGCTATGCCACACTCCACACCCTCAATTCTTCCTCTCAATGTGAAATAATATCTAGATATTTTAAAAAAGGAAATCATATTTTAAGAAGTGACACTTTCCCCTGCTCTCTTCCTGCAATGTGAAGAGATAATACATCAAGGCATAGGTAGATGCAAGACAGGAATGGGAGTTTAGAGTCAACTAGTTGTTCTCAGTCTTCTTTGGAGCAGCATTTCACTGCTATTTAGATTAAGTGCAATGTTGTCAATCCACCAGTGAGCAGTGAGATGGAGAATATGTGGAGGAATATATAATGTTTCTAATCCCCTTTATGATGAAATGTAACACTGTCTGTACAAAACAGTGATGGCAAACCTATGGCACACGTGCCACAGCTGGCATGCAGAGCCCTCTCTGTGGGCACACAAGCCATAAGTTGCCGGATCGCTACCCCCAGCAGTGAAACCTGAGGAGGTGGCAGCAGTCGCACTGCTAGTGCCCCAACAGGTGGGCAGGCCAGGATCTGGAGCAGCTGTCGCTGTCTGGGGTTGGCAACAATTGGAGGCGGATCCAGAGTGGGGTCTCGAGGCACCTCCGTGCCCAGGATTCCCCCTTCTGCCAACACTTCCACTTGCACACCGCCCGCTGGTTCGCGCCCCCCGCAGTTTGGGCACTTGGGCTCAAAAGGGTTAGCCATCACTGGTATAGAGCCACTTCCTGGCTTTCCTATCTTAGTCATCCTTCAACGTGACAAAGATAAGTTGACTCCCTACAGTGGAACACAGGCTATGTGATAAAAGCTCTGCTCTGACCTCATGGGCAGAACAGTTGCTTGACTAACTGAAAACAAAGCAAAGAGAGTCTTCTTCCGTTATCTCACGCAGCAGCCCAGTGCATAATTTCCAATTAACACAACATTCAATATATTTTGACAAAGAACCATGACACCCAAGAGCACTACGTGCTATCAAAATGTACAATTAGAGTTACCTGCATATTTCTGTAAATCCATTCAGCAAACACAGTCATATTTCCATAAACTCCTGGTCTGTATAGGATAGCACAGCCTGCTCCCCAACTTGTATCGCCCACTAACCACCATATAGAATTTTTCGTAGTTACCAATGGACCGCCACTGTCGCCCTAAAACAAAAATACAATCCCTAAAATTGTTGCTGTGATTTTATCACAATCAACTGTCAAGAGGCCTCCAACAAATGGTGGAACTTGATAAACATTTCAAATAGCTCTATAATCAAGATAACGAACATTAATCAAATAAAACTGCATTTGTCAAAGAAACAATACAATGTAAATTTATCATGTCAGCTGAGGGCAAGAGGTGCATAGAGCCAAAGAAAAGATAGTTGTCCTATTACCGAAGAAGTAAAATGCAACAGTTGCTAGACATTCATATTTTGCTAACAGAATAGACTATCTGTCTAGATGGGCAGGGTATAAATCTAATAAAATAAAATAAAATAATAAAATCTGCAGCCAGCTCACCCTAATATAGGGACTGCTGCAGTATTGGTTATTGTTATTATTTAGATGCAGCACCCACAATGTGAAAGGCATTTTCAGAAGCAATGAAGATAATGGCAGGGGCCTTGCTATCCCAAGGCTAACAGCAGGAAAAGCTGGACACAGAAGGAAGGATGTGCCTTTAACAGTTACATGGAGTTAATCAGTTACAGCATTTTTTGCAATAGGGAGATTTGGCAATGGTAATCATTTACTAAAGCAAGACAAATTAGGTATGACTGCTTTTGAAAATTTTAGTTCATTGGGCACAGATGCAGAATGAAAATGTTGCTTTCACCAGTGCAGATTTAAACAAACAGGGAGACACCCCTTTGAACCTATTAAATACTGTGGCACTGACACCAGCAACCTGCTGCTTTTGAGTGTTTACTGAGAACATTGACTACCAGGACAACAATCTTATGCAAGTCATTTCCTTAAGCAGGAAAAAAGGACCCTGTTTTAGAGGTTCCACTTGGGCTCTACAGTTTCACTCCACTGCCTTGAATGGATGTATCAGTTGCTATTTGGTGCCTCATCCTTCCTCCATTTCCTAGTGGCCATTCCACTCAGTCAAAATGTAAGTTTTGATCCCTCAATTTGCTTGGCTTCCACTTCTGTCCCCACACCTTTTTCCTTTTGTACCTTTTAGCTGTTAATCTGTGCTCAGGGCTTGTGCCATTTTATTCTTTGTACAGAACATGGAAGATGTTAGGAATAGTAAATTGGGCACAGCCCTCTCAGTGATGGTGCCGGTGGGACTTGGCAAGAGCCCTATAACATCCCAAGGCCACCCTTTAACCATCAAATTATTTCTGGCAACTTTTCCCTCTAGCTTTTAGACAGGGGAAACCTATAGGAACAAAGTGCTTCACATACAGCATCAACAGAGAGACATTACCTGACAAGAATCCACTTTCCCTTTTAAGTAGCCAGCACAAATCATGGTGGGCAGGATGATTCCATTGTAGATATATTTGTCATTACATAGCCGTGAATCTATCAAGGGGACAAGTGCTGCATTCAGCACTTTGGAAGTGTTACCTGAAATTGCAGGAAAAGGTACATTACAAGACATTGAAACAGTAGTTATTAATGTTTTCATCCACAAAAGTATACAGTGGTGCCCCGCAAGACTACGTTAATCCGTTCCATTGAAATCGTTGTCTTGTGAAAACATTGTCTTGCGAAATGCGTTTCCCCATTGGAGTGCATTGAAATCCATTTAATGTGTTCCAATGGGGAAAATAGTCATCGTTTTGCAAAAATCGCCCATAGGGAAGCCATTTTGCAAAGTGCCAATCAGCTGTTAAAATCGCTGTCTTGCGAAGCATCGGTCCAGGGGGGGGGGAACCGTCTTGCGAAGCATGGACCGAAACATCATATAGCGAAAATCGGCCATAGGAAACACAGTTTTGCGAAGTGCTATAGCGATCGCAAAAACTCATCGTCATGCGGATTCGTCGTTTTGCGAGGTAATCATCTAGCGAGGCATCACTGTACAAACATATATGCAATAGATTTGCAAAAAACAAGTTCAAGGAAATGCAAGATGCTACTCATTATTTCTGATTTACAAAAATAGCCTGCATGTAACTAGGTATTTCATGAACAAATTATAGCATCTCTCTCTCTCTCTCTCTCTCTCACACACACACACACACAGACAGCCTTGTAACCATAATAAGGGAAAAATGGTACAGACTATGTAAAAAGAGAAGCATTTCCTTTGTTCCCAAGTATTGCCAAGAAGGTGACACAAATGACAGATTTGCAATAAATTGAGGGAAGTGTAGCTGCTGCAAGTTAGCAGTTGCTCCACTTTTAATATGTGCCCAATCCATAACTCTTCTTATGTTTTGATGCAGGGAAGGTGTCCAGAGCCCCAACAATTGTAGATGTTTGACGCTTCCCTCCTTGCCACTCTTGGTGCTCCAAAGCATTGCACCTGCTTTCTGAGGCAGTCTCAGCTTTCTTCTGTGGTGCTGCTAAGGCCTTCTGTGCAAGCAACGGCAAGATGAGGTCCATGGGGTGGAGACGGGAGGAGAAAATATGGGGAAAAAAAGCTGGCCCCTGCAGCAGAAGTGTGTTATGTCATCAATGCTGGGGGCAAGGATGAGGAGGGAGGGAGATAAGGAGTAGAAATGGAACGGACAGCTCTGGGCAATCAAGAGCAGGGAGTGGGGTGGGAAGGAGGGGCACCTGATGCTCTGGAAGGACATGCTGGGACTGTGGACTGATTTGCCTATTGAGGAGAGAGTGGTGAGGGGACAGAACTAACATCTCTGGAGATGGGAAGCAGGAACAATTGGCTATTCAGGGACAAGCCATTGGGGACAGCAGTTCTGTACTGCCTGAGACTGAGTTGTGTATAAATGAACCAGAGCAGATCCGAACCGCTGTAAGGCTTGGTGCCGTGTGTTACAAGAGGCATTGCTGAGAATTCAGTCTTGTTTTTTTCTTGTTAGTGTAGCTGCAACTGGCACTAAAAGAGGTTGAGTACATTATTTCTTTGTAGTTCTCATATCTGGCATCTAACACTTCTACTTCAGCAGTACCAAAGCTCCACGTTTTCCCTTGGGAAGGGCTAGATTCAGAATCTTCAATTTAATTGCTGTGTAAGTAGAAGAGACCCCAAGTTTTGGTTTTGGATCTTACCTCTCTGTTGCAGTGCTCCCCATCCAGATATCCAACATTTTTGTTCAGGCTGAAACATCATTCCGGAGTTAGGCAAACAAACTGGTCCTATAAATTCTATGAAGCAAGAACAAATTGTTAATCAGTAACTGTTGCAGAACGTAGAGTTTGATAGGAAGTTCCTATAGCAGCAGTCTGGGAGATCTACAAGTGGAAGACTTCCAAGGACAACACAAGCCTATAATACCGTTGTGTAGAACATTTTCCAATGGACAATCAAAGGGTTTGGAAATAAAAGAGACTGTCAAGACAGGGAACCTTTATTCCCACAGACACACCGTGGGTAGTTGAAACAACCACCACTGTGAAGTTAATCAGAAAAAAAATCAGTTGGTATCTTCACTTCCTGGTCAGCTCCCTGTATCTCTACCTCTCATTACATGCAAGGAGCAGAAATCTGCTTACAAGTACATCCTTTTCAACAGCAAAAATAATTATAGCATGGTGCCACTAATTTTTCTTAGAGACTACTTGCCTGCAGTTTATCATGCATCCATGCTCATGAAGCTTGCACCATTGGCAGTGTTCATCTGACCTTGCTCTGGCAATCTGGTGAAGGTGACACTGTACCATGGCATTACTAAAAGTACAGCACAATTGCTTGTATGTTTATTGATCTAAGTAATCTTGAACTGCAATCTCAGTAACCATAGCTGTTTGCAGGACCTTGTGATGAAAGGAACAGCAGCTATCTCCTATGGATAGAGTCTCTTGGATCCCTTTCCCTATACTGTACACACTCAGTTTCAAACCACCATTATGATAACACTTTAAAGTAAATTCCCCAACTGAAAAACCTGTCTGTTTTAATAGAAATGATTTCTACTATTGCCTTCTCTATCTGTGGACATTTTCAAATGTGAGAAATAACCCAATCTTCCATTAGTAAGAGAGGCTGTACTGGACCCATATTTTATAAACTTAAAGTAGACCTTTGATCAACGCAAGAATCGTTGTAACTGCTAAGTTTAATCCCCCCCCCAATGCACCTTGGGCTGAAATACTTTCCATATTTACTACAAGCTAAATAAAGGTACAGTAGGTGGCTTTTTCTAGTAATCAGTTTGTTTTCCTAACCACAAAGTATAGGAGTTTTGTGTTTTTAAAAACCTGTTTATCTTTTCACGATCTATTTATAACTACACAGTAGACACCAACATTATCTATACTGGCTGTGCTTTCCTATCCACAAAGCTGATGTCCGTTAACAAATCCAAATTCTAGAAACAGAACACAAATAATCCCTACTGATGATATAGTAAGCTAGCATGAATTTTCAAAATTGCCACTGCTGAAGACACCAGTTAAAACAATCCCTTATGGCTCAAACAAAATGCTAAATGTTATTATTTACACCTATCTGTAAAAATCTTTGGTATCTAATGCAACATAATGAAGTTCAGATATTTCAGAACACCATTATATTTATGTAAAAATGGATGAAAGGTACTGAACCTTTCAGAAACTTCTCATAAAAGGTGGAGACTGCTCAGTAGTGAACAGAAAAAGAATAAATAGAACAGTTATTTTATGCAAGCCCAAGAAGGGCCATATGCATATATTTTTATTCATTTTTGCAGTAGCACTTCACATTAATTGAAATGTCATACTATGTACCATCATGAGAATGTCTGCTAGATCAGATTATATCTATCAAAGTCTATTTTATTAAAGTTTTTGAGTATCAACAAGAAAAAGAACAGAATCCTTTTATTTTCGGTAAGGTGCACATTCGGAAAGGTAATCACCAGCTCACGAATAAACAGTAATTTGTCTCCAAGATTTACATACATCCCCTTACACAAGCATAAATCAGCATTAGGATTCAGAAAGGCAGTAATTTAAAAACAGGTAAAGAAATACATACCATTAAAAACTAGAGGAGTCTGCAATTTCATAAGGGCAACGTCATTTGTTTTAGATGTTGAATCATAGTCTGGATGACTAATTATTTTGGCTATTCTGTGTCCCTTAAAAGAAACCATTTCTGGTTGTGTCAGAATGCCAGCATAAGCTTTCCAGTAGTAAGAATTTGAGTATTTCCTGCAAAACAGAATGAAAGCTAGCAATTACTGCTTTTTCTTCAGCAGGAATGCTGAGACATCAGGGGGTAGCTCCTAATGCCAAGGGTTACTATCATGAAGATAACATAACTGGGCTAAAATTGCATATACATTTTTTAAAAAATTAACTACCTGTTAAGTGACAGAGATACAACTTTTGAGGAAGTGGCTGTATTTCTTAAAATATCACAAAGAAGAGGTGAAGACAGCAAAAATACCAGAAAATATTTGACCAGAAGTGGTAGAGTTGTACATGTCACAGTACGTGCCATGTAACACTGCTTTCTGCCACGGCCAGCTCAAGACATTCTGCTGTCTGAAGCAAAAGGCAAGGTGGCATTCATCATCACCTTGCTCAATCAAGAATCAAACTGAGCTGGCAGAAGAACTTGAAGTCTTAGTGACATGGCAGCCTTCTCCCTGGCACCTAAGAGGAAGACACGAGTTCAGGGACTGCAACTTGTATGGTCCACATATATCTGCTGGTCAGTGACCCTAATAAAGCACATTTATTCATGATCCACATAGCTCTGTGCTCCAAAAGAAGGGAAAGGCCAAGGGATACAAATGCTTTCCACTGCCTTATAAGTAGGGCCAGTCCTGCTGCCTGAACATTTCCTATGAATATCCTCAATAATACTTTAACATTACTAAAAGAAAACTTATCAAAGAAAACTCTCCCCTGTCAAAATTGAAGATGAACCATCACAACTACACATAAAGGGAAAATCCAAAGAACCAAATTTTATAGAATGCTGCAGTGTTATCAAATATTAAGAAGAAATGTGAAAATTCGATTAAAAGAGCAGAGGTGAAGTTCTGGTTGCAGTTCCGTCGGAGAATGGTGGTGCCCCCCCACCTTGTGCCCTTGCTAGTAGTTATAGCGGGGGAAATATGGTGGGGTGGAAAAAAGATAAATGTTCAGTGGGTTGTTAGGGGTAAATCATTGTATGTTTGGTTTATGTTGAGTTTAATTTTTAGCGTATTTTTGTTTGTTGGGGGATGGGTTGTACATGGGGCCTGTTAGGAGGAGAGACTCTGAACTGAAATGGGCAAGAGAATAAGACAAGGCACTTTAAACATGAAAGGCCTGGGATCAATAGTGAAAAGAAGAATAGAAGCATTATTGAAGAAAAATAAGGTGGACATTGACTTTTTGCAAGAGACTCCTCAATCAGAAGATGGAGTCAACAAACTTAAGATGAATAAAGAGACATTTATGAAAAAAAAATTGGAATGTCTAAATCTAGAGGTAAGGTAAAGGTTCCCCTTGACAATTTTTGTCCAGTCGTGTTCGACTCTGGGGGGCGGTGCTCATCCCCGTTTCCAAGCCATAGAGCCAGCATTTTGTCCGAAGACAATCTTCCATGGTCTCATGGCCAGTGCGACTTAGACACGGAACGCTGTTACCTTCCCACTGAGGTGGTCCCTATTTATCTACTTGCATTTGCATGCTTTCGAACCGCTAGGTTGGTGGGAGCTGGGACAAGCGACAGGAGCTCACTCCGTCGTGTGGATTCGATCTTACGACTGCTTGGTCTTCTGACCCTGTAGCACAGGCTTCTGTGGTTTAGCCCGCAGCGCCACCACGTCCCTCCTAAAAATCTAAAATCTTGTGGCAGGGATTAATTAATGGATTTTGTAATCAAGGTAAGAAATCAAGAATAAATAAAAGATATTGGTGCAAGGCTCAAAAAATGGAGGTTTAGGTATTCCTAATATAAAAAATTATTATATAGTGAATCAACTAAAATTTATTGGAGATATTATATATAACAAAGGTTAATTTTTGGTGGAATATGGTATCCTCATAAAGAAATGGGAATATTGACAAATATTTGTTTAATATAGTAAAAGGAAATACAATAAATCAGGTGAACAACCCTTTTTAAAGAAATATGTTAAATGTCTGGAACAGAAATAAAAAGAAGTTATGTCACTTCTCCACTAAAATTACTGACCGAAATAGAAAATTTCCCAGCAAACTTGAAGGGTTTAGCTGATTTTTTTAAGGATAAAAAAGTTGGCAGATTGAAGGATTTCATTAAAATGAAATCAAAGGATCAGATTATAGTTAAACTTCAAACTCATAAACTACCATGGTATAATTATATCCAATTATATAGTTGGACAAATGAATGGTTGAAGACTAATGTCAAATGTAGAGAATACTTACTAAAGTATGAACAATTTCTATCATAACATGAAGACATGCAGAAAGATGCTTTGAGGAAGGGAGTAGTAAGTAGAATTTATAATCTAATTTTGGAACAAGAAGAAAAAGAGACTGAAACAGAAGGTTTGAAATCAATTTGGGAACATGATTTAAAGACAGAAATTAAAACAGAGGATTGGACAAAAATTTGGAAGATGAGAATTTTAAGATTAATGTCGGTAAGGATAAAGGAATTTTTTAAAAAAAAATTAGTGTAAGGTGGTACATGAAATTGAACATAATAAATTCAAACTATTCAAAGGACTGTTGGAAATGTGATGAAGAAATTGGCACATATTATCATATGTGGTGGGAGTGTAAACTGATTTAGAAATTTTGAAAATTGATTTTAAGGAAATATGCAATATATTTGGAAAAGATATTGAACTTAATTCTAAAATTGCTTTGCTGTCAATTTTTGATAAGATAGAACTTGATTATTGCTCAAAGGAATTTATTTCTAATCTTATGACAAGTGCTAGAATATTAATAGCTAGATTCTAGAAAGATAAAAATGATATTAAATTAGAAGATTGGTATAATGAAGTATGGGACATTGCGTTAAATGATAAATTGATTACTGAACTTAAGATGAAAAGAGGGAAAATAAGTTTAAATATTTTTATGCTATTTGGGGTAGATTTATTGAATTCATATTAGTGAAAGGAAAGGGGAAAGCTTCTAAGCAACAATCAATACAATTTTGGAAAGGAGGTTCATAATAAAACTATTGCTGCAAAGGGTCCGTGGGTATGGGGGTGCACTGTGTTATAGATTGTATTAGTAAGTATTTGGTATTTTTTTTGGAATTTTTAAAAAAAATAAAATTAAAATTAAAAAATTAAAAAGTATGCTGCTGAGATAATAAGAAAACACCCTTAGCAGAAATTGTTCAGAACTTACCCTTCCACACAGTGAGCTGCTGTTACTATCCATTCAGGAGTGATAATGGATCCCCCACATAGATGGATATCGAGGAAATGAAGGCTGACCTGCCATGGCCAGTCTCCAAGGGAGGCAGCAGTTCCACCCACAATCCTGTTCCGAGGGTGTCCACTCTTCCTGGATGTGCCACAATCTTTAAAACATAAGGTGTTTTTTGTTTTTTTTAAAAAAATCACATTAAAAGTCAGACAATGTTTTTAGAACAATCATTGCTGCCTTCCCCTACCTCTGTCTAACAATAACAAAAATGGCCACAATTTTCAGAGAACATTGTTTCTTCCAGCATAAGGGTGGGGAATGTCTAGCCTGCAGTGGTTGACATCAAGTAAAACATGTAGAGCTAAATAGTTTCTCATCCTATTTCTAAGAGCTACAGGTGGCATATGTTATCCCATTTTAAAGACCACAAACACACTAGCTCTAGACAGATTCAGTATGGTGATTTTTAATCCCAGTTGTTGGGTCTTCACATCTGAAAGAGTTTCAGCAGAAGAGCTGATCACAGTTCTCATTCAAGGGTAATCCTGCTTCAAAAAAGATTCTCAAACTCGAATCTCCAGGATTAAGTTGAGCACAGTTGCTGGGTGTTTTTTTTTAATCATGGTAGAACTAGACCATCATAATTTGCATCTAGGCAAAAACTGGATACAGATAACGCCAATCCAAATAAGATAAACATAATAAAACCATAAACAGCATTGTGTTACTTACGTATGCATCGCAGAGACACCACAGTTAATGATGGGCATGATTGGCTGTAAGACAAAAGACAGAGTGAGACTCTACTCATATAAAGTTGGAAGACTTACTCTTCAGCATAGTGTGATTCCTATCGGGCCCTTTATATCCTTCCAACCTATCGTGGTGTAAGGACAAGTCATGGATGTCAAGGTCTTCTAACAAAACATCTTTACTCTTTGGCAACATATCCAAGTCTCGGTTAACAGAAGCCCCTGGCTCTTGCTTCAGAGGTGGATCATAACATTTATAATCTTCAAGCTCTTAATTTCCCTTTAACATTAAGGGTGATGAACTCCAAACTTGACCATATCACTTTGGTGATAAGCCCAAGGCTTTGGGTGCAGTTATGTTAGGTGTCAAAGAGGGGGGTTGAAAACCCAGCCCACCTGTGGCTCCCATACCTTTTTACCCAGGTTTTGTCTCAACCTTGCTCTGAACGGACTGGCCCCACTGGGTTTCCCAGGAGTCTCCGTACATTGTCTGTGTTCTCTCCTCTGTGTCTCTCGCTGCTGCCAGGCTTTGAACTGTTTTCTCCTTTCTTTCTCTTCAGTTTTCCCCCAATGAAGCAGCTTTCTATAGAATTTTCTCTTCAGTTTCCCCCCAATGAAGCAGCTTTCTATAGAATTGTCTCTTTCACTCTTTCTCTGCATACTCTCTTGTGACTTTGAACTCTACCCACTCCCCTGCCCAGAGGTCTTCCTGCACTATCTCCACCAAGTCTTCTTTACCGTCTACTTTCTCCTCTTCCTGTACCCAACAAGCTTCTTCATCTTTTATCTCCAACTGCCCCTCTCCCCTCCTTCCTTCCTTCTATCCCCTCAGGCTTTCCCACCAAAATGGCACCCACTGGCGTCTCTTTTTCTAAACACAATCCCTGTAATTCTCCTATTATGGTAGACGGGTGTCCCTCAGTGCTTCTGCTGGAAGAGACAGATGGTACACTCTGCGGAGTGTCTTTTTGAAGGTACTCCCAGCCTCACACATAGTAAAATCCCATACTTATACTTGCATGTGAGTAATCATATAAACAGATAAGGGTACCAATCATATGGATCTTCCACATACACCAGAAGCTTACCTCTTGACAAGTTGCTAGTTATGTAGAACCCACAGAACCTGCCCCCAGGTAGTCTTGCATTATTCAGAGGCATTCCCTAGTATAAGCTTTAAATCCCTTCTGAACACCTTTAAATCCCTGTTCATCCAAAGGACAAAGTTTTCATATTCTATCATTTTACTAAAAGCAGCACTCACTCTAAAAATCATAACCTCTGCTCCTAATAAAGAGAGAGTAGTGTGTTATAACAGTACTGGAGCCATAACCCTAGAGAACAGGCAAAAGTATAGAAACATTACCTGTTATACATTTTCTTATACAAGTCTGTATTACCAGAACTTGTATTCAGCCTCATAAATCTTCTAGATCCATTGTAATAGATAGCCTTGCTACTGACATATGTGTTTCTGCCAAAGATAAAACCAACAGGTAAAAAAATGTACAACCAAATCCCAAACAATTCCCATTTCAGCAAAAAACAGAATTAAAAAATTACCCAGAAACTGTATTGATAATGTCACTAATGCCTAGTTCTGTTTTCACCAATGTTCTAGTCCCCTCTTCAGCAATGATAGGTATTCCACAACAGTACTATGAGCCAGTGATAGTCTTTCAGCCTGACCCAATTCAAGGCATTACTACATAACAGGAAAACTGAATGAAGGGCTGCTCAGTAAAGGGGAACAGATACCTCTGTGAGAGTCCCTTTGCTTCCACTCTCTTTGACTTAAACTAGGAATCTGAGAGAGCCACTCAATGGTTGCCCATTCAGCATCGTTTCAAGCAATCACACTGCCTGAACCAATGTGAATGCATTTCAATGAAAAAAAGTTGAAGCCCCAACAGCACAGGGAGAAAAGTACAAACAGCAATGGGAGGAGACTCCAGGCTGATTTACATTGACTTTTACATCATGTAGTCAACAGAAAATAATACTTCCTAATGTCAAACTATTTCCCACATTATTTGTCAACATAGTCGCTCCCTAACTGTGTTTTTTGTAAAGATGATGGCTACAAAGAGGAGTCATGTATACCACACTGAGTGTAATGGAGAATACAGACATGACAAATAAATAAATAATACAGCATAATGAATTTGGGACCCACACTCCTTGAATCAGGCAGAAAAGATGAAAATCTGACACCATCAAGTTCGTTAAAATTTTTTGCACAGACATAGAATACGAGTTTTCTTCCTTCTGCAACCATTACTACGGTCTTCAAAATTCTGTAGCAAACATGTGGTGAACACACATGAAAAAACTCTCAGCAGAGAGACAGAACATAAAGTGTGTTTTGATAAGTACAGAAGACACTGAATTTAACACCATCTAGTCATGAAGTAAGGGAAATAGTTTGACAATTCTTATTAGGTAGGCAAGACTTCAAGGAGTAACATATATTGGTTAAAATATCATTGAAATGCTTTGCAGAAGACATGTATCAACTTTGCAGCCCAGCCTCTTCACTATACTCTGTCCCATTTCACTGTGTTCCAAGTATACTTTACTATACAGTGGTACCTCACTAGACGATGACCCCACTGTACGACGAATCCGCAGGATGGTGATTTTTTTGCGATCGCTATAGCGATCGCAAAACAATGTTTCCTATGGGGGAATTTTCATTTGACAATGATTAGGTCCATGCTTTGCGAACTGTTTGTTCACAAGATGACGATTTTTTCCAGCTCCACAAAATGGCTGCCCTGTGTTTTCCAGACCCATGCTTTGCAGCTGATCGGCGCTCGGAAAATAGCTTCCCCTATGGGTGATCTTCACTGGACGATGAGGTAATTTCCCCATTGGAACACATTAAATGGGTTTCAATGCATTCCAATGGGGGAAACTGTTTTCGCTGGATGATGCTTGCACTTAACAGCGATTTCAGGGGAACGGATTATCATCGTGGTGTGGGGCACCACTGTACTGTGTTCCATGCCACAGTTTTGCACATGGAATGTACCCTGCCATTAAGTAGAGCAGAACCTGATACCAGCCATTCAATAAAGAGAATGAATGAATTAAACTTTCCAAGCTCGGTAATGTTTTAAGCTCTGAAGGTGAGGTGGTTGTCACCTTCCCCTGTATCTGCTTCTTCTATGTGTGGTAGAAGATACCCTTCCATTGTTAATGCTGAATAAAAGTGCAACTGCCCATCCAACAGGCTTCTGTTCTAGAAAAGGGAAATCACATCAGCTTGTTTTCTACTTCCAGTAGAAGCATTACCTTGAGCTGGCCCTGTCTGCACTGTATGACAGATAGTAGACCTGGCTGCAGTACTGGTAGCAACACTAAACTGCACTGCTGCACATGCAGGAGATCCTGATCCAAAGTTAGCATGGGTATTAGCACACAGAAGCACTGGGCAGATTGGAAAAAAAACAGTTCCAACTTTGTAAGCAGAGTTTGTTTCAAGATCAGTCAATTCTTTCAGGAACCTGTTCAAATCCCTCAGACATTCCTTCTTTCAATGATGTCCATTCCTACCTATGCACTAAGACCCCACCAGAGTGGCACATTTGAGTGGCACCTCTCCTAAAATCAGCTACTGGTTTCCTTGCATGACATCAGAGTACATGACACTCCACACGAGAATCTCACTTGGGTTTACAAAAGGAAAGTACTGAAGGGCAGAGCAAGTGTCATTCAAATGGAGGCTCAAGTTTAACAATAAATGAGGAAGTTTGCTTTAAAGCTTAAGCTGCAAAATAGTGTAATGAATCTTATTTAATTGTTATTTATTTAACATACTTTTACTTTCTCCATAACTGCACAAGCTGGCTTGTCTCCCAGGAGGCACAGAGGAGAATCAAACTCCTAACCTCTTGGTCTGCAGCCTGAAAGCTAGATCACTGAGCTATCCAGCCAGCTAACATATACTCCTATTATGTGAACATAACTATACTCACGCATTATATCCTATGTCTTCACAGGCAGTCTTCCCATCTTTATCACTCCAGTTATCATAGCATACAGGATGCCAGGTTTTGCTTTCAGATGAATAAACCTCCAGGACAAATTCTGGTCCATCAAGTCTAACTGCAATAAAATAAATGTATCAGTGATGGCCAGAGTTGATACAGCAGCTTACAGGTGAAATCTACATATCATAGAGTCTCTATATACATGCATGCATCAAAATCCATATTTAGATCCCCTGGGACTGCATGTACCAAACTGGATGCACTTTGCCTACACCTGTTTTAATGCATATAAAATGTTTCAATTTTTATCTGGTTTTTTGGGATGGGTTTTATAAAATGCTTTGTACAACTTGTTGTCTCAAAAGATATGTAAAAGTTAAAAGCCTGTTTCCTTTTTAAAGAATTGTAGTCTTTACTACTCAAAAAGCAACATTTAAGCTGCATTGAAGAGTTTTAAACAAGAAAACAAAGTAAACAATCCAATTAATAGCAAGTTTATGAAGTCCAGGAGCCTTTAGGCCTACAATTCATGAGTTTCTCTACTTTTGATATGTTAGTTTAAAAAGAATTTCAGCAAATTGCTTTCCACTTTTAATCTAGAGCAGGGGTCTCCAAACATTCACATGGAGGGCCACATATTTGTGATATTTTTGAGGGCTGAAGGAACGCATGCAAATGCATGCGCACCCACACACTCCCCACCCACATGCCCACCCGCATGGACACCCAGCCGCATGGACGGGCTGGATGAAAAAGCCGGGCAAACCGGATGTGGCCCGCGGGTAGTACTTTGGAGACCCTTGATCTAGAGTCTGCCAAAATGATTATGTTAATGTTAGATTGAAACCAGTTGCATGAAACAAAATGTTCAATATTAGTCAACACTGCAGTTCATGATGCTTTTACAGTGTAGTTCTCAGAGGTAAACATATTTCAGAAAGTGATCAAAAATAATTGTTAACTTCTGCTCCCTATAGAAGCTTGTGCACTTTACATTTTATACCTTGATCGCTAAATCATAAACTGATTACTACATGGGTGCTCCTCAGTTATTTGAGTACATTTTTTTCTGATTGTTCTTCCAACTACAATTTTTCAAGAAGACACATTATTCCCATTGTAACAATAGAAGTCTTGGGAATGAGACTAAAACCTGTTTTTTATATTTTGCTTATTCTAGTTCCCTCCTGGAAGCCCACAAACAGGTCATCAGCACAGTAACGCCCTGCTGATTCCACCTAAATGGTACCAAAAACCACACTGCTTCATCCTATAAGTGATATATGATCCATGTGACTAGTAGAGTACTGGTAACCTTGTATTCCATGAATCTGACTAGTCTTTCAAGGCTATGCAAGTCAGTGTCCTTCACTTATTTCATGTGGTTATGAGTTCCACAACGTACAACTGTACAGACAATCCATTTTTGATGAAGGTTAAAACTCATTGCAGTACACTTACCACAGCGACTTTCATCTTCACCATTAGGGCAATCACGTACTCCATCACACCACTGAGATGGTGAGACGCATACTCGTGTAGTTCCACATTGTATCTTGGCGCCAAAACAACTGCCTGTCACTACAAGGAACAAACAGATACAGGAATCCAATTTAATTTTCCAAAGACAACCTATAAGACCAGCTAAAAGCTACCATGGTTTAAGACAAAATACACTTCAATATTCCACTTTCAATAGCACCATATGAACAGTGGCTTAAAATATATTCATCAAGATTTCCAGCATTGTTACCTTCCTTGAGTTTTAGATTAGCTTTTAAAGCAACAGAAAAATGTGCATGTTATGCTTGGTTTAAGAAAGTGTCTTCTATGACTCATGGCTATCCATGACATGTAAAACATACATTTCCCAAAAGTTTTGTCGTTTCCTTATTGAGAGACTGCTTGCAGTGGTCTGCTGCTTTAATTACAAAATTTTCTTAAATACAAGGAGAAATGGTGAATAACGCTAAACAATTTCTTGATACCACTGATATCATGTTTGTTCTAACCTAAACATCCATAATACGTCAGAACAGGAAAAAGGAAGGAGGATGAAGTACTGGCATTAGAAGCTATAATGTCATGATCATTATTTAAGCATACCATAATGTAATGAGCAGGGGGGAAAATCCATTCAGTTTTTGGAAGTAAAAAAAAAACACACCCCACAACATGTTAACAAAATCCTTGACTAAAACTTCTAGAGACACAGATGAAGCCTTACCAAAGTACCAGGAGAGAACAACTGCAATTCCAGCTCCTATCAATGAAATTACAGTTGCTAGAAGGAAACACAAAATCTTCCTGAGCCCTGCAATTATAAAATGGAGAAAAATGTGTATATATAAATAAATATATATAAATCTCAAAATTCCGATTGAAACTCCATGGCCAATAAAACTGAACACCACTGTATCTTTCATCTTGCTAATTAAATATATGAGATCTCTTTTGAATGAGCTTCAAAGCCAGGTTTCCACATTTTTGCTTGCCATACTAGCCATGGAAAGTATTCTCCCACCCTCCTATTGAGCACAAGAAGTCTAATTCTTCTTCCTGATCTGCAAGGTGGCCAGAGAAATGTTCCAACAGTTCTGTGGTAGTGTCCATCCATTGACCCAGGTCTGAAATTGGAAGACTGGAGGTTGTTTGTTTACTGGGTATCTCAGCTGCACAAAGGACAAAACAATCTAACCAGCCCCCAGCTTTGGAGAAGGAGACGGTAGCTGTTCGTTCCTTGGCTAAACTTTGGAAAAAATCAACTAAAGCATGGTCAGGGCACATGCATTTTTGGCACAACCATAAGGCCAATCAAAAATAGGGTACTCCTCATCAAAACCCCCAAATTATATGCTTAAATATGCCACATACAAAATTGCTCTGGAGAGGAAGAGAACAATAAGCTGGAGAATCCAGAATAAGAGCTATGTTGTGGAAAGCATCATACCACAATGTCCCGATCCATATTATAGCCTTTTCTACAATTCAGTAAAAGGGATGTGCAGCCACCCACACGAGCATTATTGTAGCACCCGGCGCTACCCTGAAGGCCCCCTCCAAGAAAGAATTTAAAAGTGAAAATACAGTATCATGTACTATTATTTCTGCTTCTTTTTTAAAAACCCTAATTTTCATTCCTGGGGCAGACATTTTTGCACCGGAGCCTAGGAGCCAGAAACTTGCTTAATAAGTGAAAATGGTCTTTTTCTGAGCCTGACACAACCCATCACAGGGGCAATGGTCAAAAACTGGCTTCCAAGCCAGCAAGGAAAGGGGGAGGGGGAATCACAGAAGCAGTGCTGCAGAAAAACAGGAGCCAGCGTTGGTGGTCCAGTTGCCACATTATTTCTCTTACACATCTTTAGACTATGGCTATAGTGCCACAGTTGTGCAAAGCACTTTCAAAAACAAATATGAAGAGGTTTTTTTGGCTATCTGGATAAGAGGTCTATAAATTTGGAAGTGTGGCATTCACCCTTATTATGTTAAATAAGTCATGCATTATTCATGTTTTATGCTGATGTGGTTGAGAGGTGGAGCCACTAGAGATGTTAAAAAGGCGGAGCCAGAGAGGAGAAGAGAGTCAGAGTTAGAGAGGGAGAGAGAGAGAGAGAGAGTTGGGAGATCTGAGAGATCTGAGGTGTGATTAGTCTGCGGAGTGAATAGTAACCTGTAAGATAATATAGAAGATTGTTATTGATGCTTGATGAACCTGAAGATGATACTTATGAATTATTATAGAAACATCTGTAATCAATAAACCTGTTTTATTCAAAAGACAGTGATGAATGGACCTTCGTCTTAAGTAAAGTATGTTGATTTAGTAATCAACTGGTGGCAGTGTGTGAAAAGGTGCTTTTTGGTTTGCCTTCGTGAGCTCTCTGTTTTGGGGAGACAAACAGGGGCCACAAAGGGGCAAACGTCACAGGAAGCAAATCTTACTTGGTGTGCATTTTGTAGACGAAGGCTTTGGCTGCACTATTGTTGGCACTGGTGTCGAATGCTGAGTTGAAACTGGTGAGACGTACTGCGGCACAGATGGAGGATTATACGAAGTTGTGTAATGTGGCGGATACATGTTGTAGGCACTGACGTATCTTGGAGCAGCAACATTTTCTGACTGATAGGCATAGTTTTCATAGTATGGAGGTGGATTCTAAAAAAACAACAACCCAAAGAACATCATTGTCAAACTGGACAAGTAACCTCAAGAAAGTATCACAGATAGTGGATGGAAAAGGGAAATAACTCTAGTATCTGTCATTTTGCAATAGTCCTCTGAAGTCAGTGTGAGTAGAGTACAGAAAGCAGCATTACCATACATTGGCAAGGCAGTGTTTCTACAGTATGTGGGAAGATGCTGGGACCTTGAAAAAAATCTGGTTTTCAATATAAAGACCTCTGGTCTAATACAGTATGGATGAGTTCAGAACTAAATGTTTGTAGAATTAATTTGAAAATAATTTAATTGGTCACTAGCCCTCTTGATGCTGATTCCCTCCTTATGTGTTAAACTGCAATTCCCATTTTCTCCGTGTCATTTATATCCAATGCATTTAGAGGGTACTAGACTGGGAAAAGCAGAACTAGATATTCAGTTCCCACAATTGCATTTTTATTTACTGTTCCAAGTCCTCCATACAGAGCATGTTACCATAGTCTTTCAAGACTGAAGGATGCCTAACTAACTCTTTAAAAATACAAAAAGTACTTTTTATATTTAAAGTTTTTTTATAGCATTAAGTTATGCTTCTCAATGCCAGAGTAATTTTCTGAACAGCATATAGAGTTCTCAGATTTCCTTTCACTTTTCTGTTTGGTTTTAGTCTAGTTTTATGACCAAAGAGCAATGAGCACATTTTCTTTTCAATTAGTCTGCAGTCAAATTCACTTTAATTTGTTTTTCCTAGAACAGTTTTACAACAGACAAAACAGAATGTAATGTTTAAAAGCAGATTCACTTACTGGATCAGATGCCATCTTGATTTTCAACAGTTCACCTTTGGCAAGTTTGTGACAGACCTGTGATGAACATACAATGTATTTTACATAACTACAGAAATAAAGGAAACCTACACATTTTAAATGTCAGTTTTAACATCAGCCATTTTAACAAGTGTCTAAGTATGAAAAAGGAGAAGGGGAATGGAATAGTAATACCATGACTTGATGCACAGACAGTACATTGTTTAAAGACTATCATGCCTTTAGAAGTAGAGAACTTAAAGCAAAGTAACTACTGTATGAGTAAACTGCACTCCACTTCTGCAGAGAACATTCTGACAAATAGGCAAGCAAACCAAGACAGGATTTTTATTGCTTTAGATTGCTCCCAACCTCTGGCGCTGTAGCAAGACACCTAAACCACTGAGATAGCGATTCAGCAGTTCTGTACATATTAAGCAAGTAATTTTCCAATTCAACGTAGTAGGATATCCTTCTGATTAGCAAAGCACAGAACTTTATAGCTAGTTACAGTCCAGGATGAGAAAGCAATACAAAATGCAAATCTGCTTGTCTGTGCTAAATCAGTGCATGTTTGGAAAATTTAATAAGGCATATAGCTTATTTTCTTTGGCATGAATGCCTTTTTCACAAATGTTTATTTCCTCAAAACTAAGTTTATTTCATTCTAGATACTTTCCTTCTGACTCAGCAACATATCTAGGTCAATAAGTTGTAGTTTGAACTAAATATTTAGTGGGACATAACAAATCAAAAGTGATTCAACAAGTAAAAATAAAAGTTCAGTGAAGTAAGTGATCACATGGCAGAACTGCATATCCCTGAAGTAAAAAAAAATCAAAGCAACATAAACTGAACTCTTTGGTTTTTTAGACATGTCAGATAATCAATTTCAAATCATGTGACTTGTTCATTAGACTAAACAGCTTCCAGGGCATTACTCATGTTAACAATATGCTATGGGCAATTCTAGCAGCATGCTGTTTCACATAATCATTTGCTGATATCTCTCAAAGGTGCCAATGAATTTAGCAAGACTCCTCTAGATGAGGGCTGGTTTTTAAATCAACAATTCAAGTACCGTAATTCATTCTGTTGAGCCTACTTTCAGTAGGGCAGTTATACCACCTGAATTCTAGTATCCTAATATACATGGTCCAGTCAAAACTACCACTTTGGATGGTACAGATTTGTACAATATTTTTAATACTATAACAACTGTGCAAAGTTGGTCTCCATACTGTTGTTAAAGCTAAAAACATTTCAATGTAAGTTTCCAAAGCTCAGTGGTAAAGTATATGTTCCCCATACACAAAGTTCAAGATTCTGTTCTTGACACCTTCAGATATGGCTGGGAGAGACTTTGCCTAAAAGAATAGAGAGGTATTGCTAGTAAGTACCAACAATACAGTACTGATAGTTTTGATGAGCAGAGGCTGACTCCACAAAAGCAGCTTCCTGTGTTTTCTTATATGTCAGTTTGCTGAATCATTTATATAGGATTATTATTGCATTTTGCACCTTCACGTTTTGCTAAACAAATCTGGCACTGAGTGAAACAGTTTGTTTTGAAGAAAATAGCTTTCTTATGAAAAGTTTGATAAACAAAAACAATTAGAATTTAGACCATTCCATGTATCTCCAGGCCTTCCAAATGTGTTGGTTAGAATGACTTCAGTCCTACTTTACTGTGACTTAGAACAGCCTTTCTCAGTGAGGACCACAAAGCACATATAGCCCTGGCATATTTGAAGGGGGCCACAGACTGAAAAATATGACAAGGGGATTTCATCTGTTTGTGTTGTATCCTTCTCAGGTTCCAGGCCCCACCTAGACCAGGAGAAGAGTTCCTAAAAGTGCTGTGGCCCAAAAAAAAGGGTAAAGAATGGCTGATAGCTAACCCTGTTTTTGCCCTCACATTTCAAATATGTTGAATACAAAGAAGGGACAAAGCTGCTCTAAGGAATCACCTCAGCCCTGCTTATGAACTACAGCTTCAAAGGTCCAGTGATAACTGTATTATTTTATGTTCAGAAGAAATGAACACCATATCTTCTTACCAATCCCATTACTCAAAGGATTACAGTATCTGTTTTCTTTACTAACACATGGTTCTGTTTGCTGACAATGCTATACTACAGCCATCCTCCTATCCTGGCAATGTTTTATACTCCATTTTTAAATGAAGGATTTCATTTATGGATTACAGATCTCAAGGATGGCCAGAGACGAGAATGTGTTAAGCCTAATACAGTATGCCCACTTTCTATCTTGTTGCCTTTCCAACTTGTGTCAATCAATTAGTAGCCATTTAGTAGCCATGACAAGTCAGCAGAGCTGAACTAACTTCATTAAGAATTAGAGATAAAAGTGTCCCTTTGCATTAAAAGAATTCCTTTTAATGAGGAATGCTGCATGCCACCCCTTTTTTGATGTTTGTATGTGTGTTTGAAGATTTAAAATTATTTTAAGATTGTGGTCTTTTACGATGTTAATGGATTTAATTGTAACTTAATTTAACTTACTGTGTTGTAGCTAATAATTTTATAAGACATCTTTAGTCTCTGAACTAGGCAAATCAGTAAGTTAGCATGATTTTGGATCATTTATCATTCCTGCTGAGCCAGGCAAATGAGGTGTATTAGTTTTTTATATTAACATGGAGACATCCCCTCCTCCTTAAAACAAACAAAAAACAGATGAGAGTGCTTAGAGCAGCCAAAAAGCCTATTTAAGATATTATCTAAAACCAGAATGTGATTTTCAAAGCAATGTTCCATTTAGGTGTAAAAGAGCCTGAGTAACATTTCTTTTTGGCTTAAGCTAGTTTTTAAGCATCAAGATGTATGGACACAGACATGGATGGAAAGAAGGTGGATGCTTCCAACTTCACATTTAAAAAAATTGCAAAACCTGTAATCAATTAAGATTGAAGGCATATAATTTAATGCAACTGCTATACAACAGAACCACTTAATAGGGAAAGGATACAATGCATACAGAATGGTAAAATGTGGAAATTGAATGTCACTAAAGATTTGCGTGAAGAACTATGGATAGAGGTTCGTAACATTGTACAGGAGGCGGCAATAAAAATCATCCCAAAGTAAAGGAAATGCAAGAAAGCAAAGTGGCTGTCAAATGAGACTTTACAAATAGCAGAAAAGAGAAGAGAAACAAAATGCAAGGGAAAGTTGCAGAAAATTGAATGCAGGCTTCCAAAGAAAAGCAAGGAGAGACAAGAGGGTCTTCTTAAATGAACAGTATAGAGGAAAATAAATGAACAGTATAGAGGAAAATAATAGAAAGGGAAAAACCAGAGATCTGTTCAAGAGAATTAGATATTAAAGAAATATTTTGTGCAAAGATGGACACGATAAAGGACAAAAATGGTAAGGACCTCACAGAAGCAGAAAACATCAAGACAAGGTGGCAAGAATACACAGAGGAGTAACACCAGAAAGATTTGGACGTCCCAGAGAACCCATATAGGGTGGTTGCTGAGCTTGAGCCAGACATCCTGGAGAGTAAAGGGACGGAAAAGAGCAGATACGGATCAAATGGTTTTCAATGCATTCCTATGGGAAATGCAGATTTGACCTGAGAACTTTTTGACTTGAGAACCGCCTTCCAATACGGATTAAGTTCTCAAGTCAAGACCCCACTGTAGCAGAACTCATTTCCTGGAAATAACTGAGCTCCTATGGCTCAGTCACTGGCAGTAAGATCTATAATCTAAAATACACCAACATGTTTGGTTCCACCCTTTCGTCTTTGCTCTACCACCACTGGAAAGCAGCCCCCAAGAACCTCTCCTAAAACTGAATTTGATGCTCATGCAGTTCCCCACCCTTTTAAAGCCCACTATATCTTGTACTTCTCTGACTATTGTTCTCTCCCCTTCCATCCCCTCTAAAATGCATTAGTAATTTAGATCACTAAAAGAAATAAAGCTGCAGGAGGCACATATAGGCTGTTTTTGAACCACCTTACCATTCAGACCAGAGAGCCAAAGATTCAGTGGATCAGAAAACAGAGCTGGGATAATTGCATTCAGAGCAGCACTGTGGCCAGCCCAGTGCCATGGTAGTTTAGAATTCATTAGCATTCAAGCATTTAGGGCTTTGTTGTAAATTAGCTACTTTGCACACCAATGCTGGAAAACATCACTGGTGTCAATTCATTAGTCAATGGAGTGGGAAAGATCAACACATCAGTCAAGAAGATATATGGAGTCTGTCCCTTAATGATGTTAGCTTCTAGGCAGATGGTGATGGAACCTTTGTGGCCTGATGACTGTGTTTAATATGTGTAATCTATACACCAATAAATCTGAAGCTGGCAACAAGCAGGTTCACTTTGTTCAGTCTATGGAAAGAAAAAAGTGTCCTGCACATTGTGGACAGCATTAACATTTAACAGTGTTTCAGGGAGGTTCTTTTATTGGACTTGAATTAAAAAGTAATAATTACCTAGTAAAACAATTAGCTTGAGTAATGTCACTTTCCAGGAAGGATGGTTAATGCCAGAACCTATTATTAAGACATTCACATCAGCATCTGGAACAACTACAGTAGTTGTTTCATGGACTGCTACCCGGACTTTATCATGTTAAGAAGCATGGGTTGTCAGTAAACATGGGTGATGTGATGTCACTGGTTCACGTCACTTAATGGCATTAGAAAAAGAAATTAGAAAAATTAATTTTAAGTCATTCCCCTTGTGGCTGAAAGATTGAAAATGAGACATTACAACAGTGACAGACTGTGTGGTTACATCTGGGAAAGATTAAACATATAGAGTAGTTGTCAGCAGAGATGTGAATTGCCTTTACACAAAAGTGCAAAACGGGATGAGATCAAAGGTATAGTATATCTGTGTGTCTATATCTGGATGACTCTGGAGGAGTGCAAAGAGATCCTGGTCACCTGATCCAGCACAGCAATAAGTCAGTGGATCCTTCATGGGAGGTAGTGACAGATTTTATTTTCTTGGGCTCCGTGATCACTGCAGTTGATGACAGCAGCCACAAAACTAAAAGACGCCTGCTTCTGGGGAGGAAAGCAATGACAAACCTAGACAGCATCTTAAAAAGCAGAGACATCACCTTGCTGACAAAGGTCCGCATAGTCGAAGCTATGGTTTTTCCAGCAGCAATATATGGAAGTAAGCTGGACCATAAAAAGGCTGCCTGCCGAAGAATTGATTCTTTTGAATTGTGGTGCTGTAGGAGACTCTTGAGAGTCCCCTGGACTGCAAGGAGAACAAACCTATCCATTTTGAAAGAAATCAACCCTGAGTGCTCACTGGAAGGACAGATCCTGAAGCTGAGGCTCCAATACTTTGGCCATCTCATGAGAATAGAAGACTCCCTGGAAAAGACCCTGATGCTGGGAAAGTGTGAAGGCAAGAGGAGAAGGGGACGACAGAGCACGAGATGGTTGGACAGTGTCACTGAAGCTACCAACATGAATTTGTCCCAACTCCGGGAGGCAGTGGGAGACAGGAGAGCCTGGCATGCTCTGGTCCATGGAGTCACAAAGAGTCGAACACGACTTAACAACGAAACAGCAACAGCAAATGATTTGCAGTATTCTTTTTCTTGGAACTGGAGATTTTGGAACCATAGCTAATTGTTCCTGGCTGCTTGGAAAAACCAGTGTAGAATGCAAAATGCTGATGTTGTTAGGGGAAAGGGTGGTTTACTATATGTGCTGGTAATATTGATGAGTTTCAGTTGTTGAGACCTGTGGACAGGGTGCTTGGATCTGTTTGTTCTACCACCACTCCGCTCAACCCTTGCCCATCTTAGCTAATTGGAAGATCTGCCAGTGGGGTTCACACCTGGGTCCAGGAGGCCGTGAACGTCTCTTTGATAGAGGGAGTCATCCCTACCACCTTGAAAGAGGCAGTAATTTGGCCACTCCTTAAAAAAGCCTAACCTGGACCCAGTGCTAGTGGTTAACTACCGACCAGTGGCGAACCTCCCTTATTTGGGCAAGGTGTTGGAGTGGGTTGCGGCCAGGCAACTCTAGGTGCTGCTGGATAAAGCGGATTTTCTGGATCCAATTCAATCAGGTTTCAGGCTGGGCTTTGGTATGGAGACTGCCTTGGTCGCCCTGTACGAGGACCTTTGCCGAGAGAGAAATGCGGAGTGTGACCCTTTTGATACTCCTGGATCTCTCAGTGGCTTTCAACACCACTGACAGGGTCCGTAGCTTGGGGGTGCTCCTGGACCCCCTGTTCCAGAAGATTTTTAATTGAAATAATATCAACTGTGGGTCCTGAGGGCAATTTTTAGAGTACTGTATTTTTAATTGTATTTTTATTGTTTTATCTTTTTATTGCATTTAAATTGTTGTAAGCTGCCCAGAGTAGTGTGGGCGGCATATAAGTTAAATAAATAAATAAATATTCAAGAGATCACAGCAGTTGACATACAATTTCCACAATTTTAAATGATGTGTTACCTTTGCTATTTTTATTTAAATCCAAAAATGTTAATTCTATTAAATCTCAATCTCATTTTGAATTGATTAGCTGCTGAGATTAAAAACTAAATGAATTTTGAGAATATCAAGGGAAAGGTTATTTAAAGTCCAGGAGTGACTCAAAATTGTTAAATTTCATTCTTGTTTTTTAGAATAAAAGCCATGAATGATATCTGGAGAATAATATTCCATTTTATTGAACACAGTCCGACACAAAACTGCATAGGATAACAGTTCATTCTTAAAAGCATTTGATTTGGAAACTTTATACAGATATTTGTGTGTACTGCTTATGTTGAGATATTTTAAGCTGCCTTTGCTGTATTAAAATAGAAAGAGAAAGGCTTCATTTTAATTCTTTTTCACTCAATATATTTTGTAGCTCTAGAGAGAGCAATTCGCCGTCTTCTGCAACAAAAATTAACTGCACTGTCTAACAATGCTTATCCAATAGTAGGTTCCCAATCTTATTCAATGGGACTTACTCCCCCCCCACCAAAAGGGTGGAAGATTTTCTTTCAGTCTTAACTACATCAACTTGCCATTTCCCTACCTTAATTACTAATCTTTGGGATATCCATTTATTCTGAAGCATTATTTATTTATGAAGCACCAGATGTCATACAGAGAGAGAGAGAGAAGAAAATTAAGAGGTCTTCAAATTAAAGTCCATATTTTGTTACATTGGCTACAAGGAGAGAGAAAGACTTTCATAATGTCTGCTCCTTATTTGCCAGGTGTTGCTTCCTGGTAATGCAAAATAACTCGATCAGGTTTTCGCTGTACACCACACTACTGCAGGATGCCAAGAAAAAAGGGGTGGGAATCATGTAATCCATCATTTTTGGTGTTTCTGGTGTTTTGAGTCAACTTTCCTATCTCCCTCCCTCCAAAATGTTAATATACAATGTTTCCTTCCAGCCGCAACTGCTTCCCTAAGCAAAGCTTTCCTCAGTATGATTCCAGTGGCAGAAAATAAAATTTTTTAACCTATCCTTCCCGCATTCTATGAAAATAAAGGCCTAACCGCCACTAAGGATCCCCCCCCATGCTCAACTGAAGGTTTTTGGGAAGAATATGAGGGGGAGCAATGGACACCCCCCAACCCCTGCCTCATTCAAGCAATAAAAATGCCACAATGGAGGAGAAGCTCCCATGAGGTAAGTCAAGATGAGAAAAGGATGCATAGTTTGACTAAGAACACTTGGTGTGTTTGTCTCTGTGACAACCGTTGCATTGTTAAGTTTCTAACACTCTGTCCTATCTTACTACACCACAGCAGCTCAACTACAGAAAAGCAATTAAAGCAATCATAGAAGTGTAATTTATTCCCCAACTGAACAAAAAGAATAGAAGTATCTGTTCAGGAAGTTTCAGTGGTTGGTGCAGAGCTTGTAAGCCCTGGGGAGATTCCGAAAGTTGTATGGGGGCGGGGGGGAGGTAAAATTTCCTAGATGTGGACAGAGGGTCCAGAAATAGTAAGTTAGCATTAGGCTTTCTTTTATTGCCTTTTATGTGCTGTACTGGAAACAGAGATTCCATAGATGACTCTTTTCTTAACATGCAAATACAGAGAGGAGGGAAATTCTGCCTAGTATAATTTTGTTTGCAACAGACACATTAAAGAGAAAGAACAGGACAAAGTGGTAAGCCCTCCTAGCCAGAGAAGGACATGTTTGAATATCAAGTGCTTCCCTCTTTGAAACCAGAGAAGCCCCCTGTCATCTTATCCAGGGGATTGGATTCCAGGCAATCCTCAACTTCAGGCTTATCCTATTTTAACTTAAATAAGAGGACACAAACACAAGGAATAACACAGTGGAGGAGAATCAATAAAGCCATTCTATGGGTAAATATTTTTCATTGAGAAGGGGCAGACCCTCTTAATAAACTCACCAACCCTATGGAACATTCACAGTATGTGAAAGAAGCAATTGCCCACATACCTTATTAAACAGGGCAGTCACAACCTTTACCATATTCAACAATAAAAAAGAGTCTGAGTCTAGTATCCTAAAGCTGATAGTCCAGCATTAAGACTAGGGGTGGAGTCTATTCATTCTCCATGCCCCCAACACACCCCATAAAAGATTTTAAATAATCAGAGATATCACTCCTTTTCTCACAGTCTGACTTAATATTGATCAAATAATACCCAAGCACATTTTCCAAAGCCTCAAAAATATAGGTTCATAGCATGCTGAAGATCTGACATCCTTTTTCCCTTCCTCTGTTTCATTTTCTGTTTTCCATTTCGTGTAAATAGTGTATTTTAATTGACATAATAGGGTCCCTTTTCTTTAGAGAAAAGTGGGGTAAAAATATTTTAAAGAAAGCAATCTTGTTCAGGCCACATGTTGGTGAACACCAGACCAAGAGTAATCTTCCAGGATACTGTCAGATTACAGAACACTGTCCCCTCTACGTTACCAATGTAGCACCAACTGAAGTCCTACTAGCTCATTAAAGAAGCCGCAGGTGTTTCGGCATTCATCACCAAGACACCGATTGATGCAAGGTCACTTCAGAACAAACATACAAGCCGATCTAGTCCAAAAGGGACTAGGACCGGGAGCGGAGACATTTAGCAATTCCATCTTCCACCCCTTTTGTCTGACTACCCCGTTCTTCCCTCCCTGTTAAAAATAAAAATAAAGTCACACTTGTGGAAGAAACCCCTTTAGTTTAATGTGAGAAGAGCAGCTTCATTGACGGACCAACCACTCGTAAGAGCAGGACTTCTGACTCCCCTCGTAAGAAAAAAGAAAACCAGTTTACACCCGTTGGCGTTCAGCCGCTTTTCGCTTACGCGTACAAACTGCCCGCTTGTATCTACACAACGGGGGAGAGAAGGTAGATATTTCCCACCTCTCCCACCTGAAAGCCCGATATGGACAAGCACAAGGGCGCGCAGAGCTCCCCCCCCCCTCCGCCGCCACCCGGGGTCACGAAGGCGATTCGGTCCCCCAGAAGCAGCTGATCTGGGCGCTTACCTGAGGGAACGGAGCGCTTGTGCCGACTCCTCGCCGCTCACTTCCAGCCCGGGGCGGTGCGGGACGAGAGAGAGAGAGAGAGAGAGACTGGAAGAAGTGCCTCAGCGCCACTCCCGGCGGCCACTTTTCCCTGCGGGGAGAGAAACACCAACCGGACTCCTTGCCGAGAGGAAGGGCTACAGAGGGCAAGGAGACAACGCTTCGCGCCTTGAGAGAGGAGGCTGGCACCGGCGGGAGGAGGAGGAGGAGGAGGACGCGGCGGCGGTCACAGTCGTTTCCTGGCGTCTCCTTGTGTCCTCCCTCCTCCCCTTTTATCACTTCACGCCCGCAGGAGGGATCGACAGGCTGTTATTCACCCGCAGGAACTGAGGGAAAGGCCCTCCTCGCGGTGTGTGTGTGTGTGGGGGGGCGGTGTTACTTCCTTCCTCATAGCAGGACGCGCTTCAGGCTGCGTTCCTGTGCGCCCTTACCTGCCAGTCGGTCCCCGTGGAGCCGGGGGGGGGGAACTATTTCTGAGGAAACACGCCAAGTGACCTCCCCATTGCCTCATCTCAGTCACGTAGCCTCAGGTTTCTGACCTCAGTGAAAGGCGCAAAAGTACTTGTGGGTTACGGGTAGCCTCCGGGAAAAAGAGGAATTCCGTGATTAATGGCAAGGGTGCAGGTTGAGCTCCTTAGGCTTCCGAAGGAGAGCTGGGGAACTTCTGGGCCTCCAGATGGTATTGGACTGCATTTCCCATCAGCCGTAGGTAACCTAAGGCAATGGGAAGGAATGCTGGAAGGCACAGTCCTCCGAGACCCGCGTCACCTGGAAGTCCAGCACCTGTGTGGCAAGCAGTCATTCAACAGGGTTGAAGCAAACCCCGCGCTAGGAAACTCTGCACCTGATTAACCTTCTGCCTGCCAGAATGTGGATTAAAGACAGGGGAATGCTTCCAGCAGCCAAAAGAAGATTTGGATCTCTTGGTGGCAATGCATATTCACATGGGAGCGGGGAGAATGTATTTCTTCCCCCAAGATCTGAGGAGGGGGAACACATCCCTGCTTCCCTTACAAGTTGCCTGTGGGAAGCACCAAGCCTTGCTTCCTTGGCTATAGGTATATGCATATTTGTCCTGCTGATTTCTGCAACCATTCTCAGATGTGAAATGACAGTGAGAAAGAACACATCTGAACAAGCCCAGACAAAATGCTTCATTCTAAGAAATCTGGAATAATTCAGGAATTGTGGCTTACTGTTATATATGTTTGGAGGGAACATATGAATCTCCACAGAACAATGTCTATGAAAATTCTATAAGCCCATCTAGTCCAACCCCTGCAGCCAGCCAACCAATATGTTGGTTAGCTGGCTGCAGCTGATGGGAGTTGGAGTTCCAGTACCACTTGGAGCTGAAATCCTGTTACTTAGTGTAGTAAGTCATAACTAGAGTTGGCCCAATGAATCAATTGAACTTACAGGAGTTGACGTACCAACTAATGAACCTACTGTAGTTGTAACTTACTACACTATGTAACATGTTTCCCATTGGTACAAACTAATATAATAAATGAATGATTTTGGGGGGAATGTCCAATTGCCCTCCCAGTGGGGGAGTTTCAGGAAACTATACAAAAATCCATGTGATAAATTATGTATAGTAGATTAGACCACACAGAGATCATATTCAAAGCACTCCTATAGGATAGGTCTTGCTACTAAGGAATAAATCTTTTGTTCCATTAACAGTAAGTCAGTAAGTCAAATGTTCTTGAATGGGCAGTGAGTTATGGTAGCAAAGTGTTTCCACCTATTTCAAGGGTCATTTTTTCCCATTACTGTATTATGTACCATCAAGTTGCTTTTGATCTTCACCTATTTCAAGGGTCATTATTTCCCATTATTATGTACCATCAAGTTGCTTTTGATCTATACAACCCTATATTTTAGTGACTACAAAAGGTCCTATTATTAACGGCCCTGCTCATGTATTGTGAATTCAGTGCTGTGGTTTCCTTTATTGAGTCAATTCGTCTCATACTGTATTTGGTTTTCCTCTATTCCTACTGTCTTTATCCTTTCCTAACAACATTGTTTTTTCCAGTAAGTAAAATTATTACTTACAGTCATAGATATGCATCAGTATAGTGACTTACTTGAAGCATGATTCAAAACCTGGCACAAGTACAACTGGTTTGTGGCAGCCGTACTTGCTCTGCATATTATTGGCTAAATCAAGCATGATTCAAAACCTGGCACAAGTAAGTACAACTGGTTTGTGGCAGTCGTACTTGCTCTGCATATTATTGGCTAAATATGCATCAGTCATATGATGTCTTCCATGGGTTCCAAAAAGTTTAAATGGTGCTACAAAGCCTACACATACTGACTTGTTAAAAAATAACTCCTGCTGAAACCAATAGATGAGCTGGGAGCCAGAAGATCCAGATTCAAGCCCCTACTAAGCTATGAAATATACTGAGTGACGTTGGGTTGCTGACTTACTCTTACTCTGACCTACCTCATAGGACTGTTGTAAGGATAAAATGGAGGAAGTGGGAATGGTGTACATAACTTTTAATTGGAAGATAGTTAGGATAAAAATGTAACGAATAATTAACACACTAAACTCAGTGGTAATTACTTCAGAGTAGACAGAAGTAAACAGAGTTTACAGCCATTACAGGCAACAAGAAACCTTTCTAACAGCAACATTTCTAAACACCCTTTGACATTTTTTTCAGGTCCCTTCCTTCAATTTTTTTTTTTTAACAATTACTAGCAGGCCATGGCTGGAAAAGTATAAATCACATTAGCAACATCAAAATGTCAGTTGAAATTAGTAATGACAATATTAAGTTCCTTCTCACATGTCTGGGTGCGGCAGATGAATATGATTTTTTTTTTCCTAAACAGGAACTGGAAGAAATTATGAGATCATCCTTGAAATTGCAAGCAAGTTTAACAAAAAAACGTGAGGACGCTGGTATCATTTACAATGACTCATAACTATTTTAGGTCACTGGTGGAAACAAACATCCCCAAGCTACACATTTTTACACAGAACCCCTGTTAAGATCAAGGAGGCCAAGACAGAACTTCACATTAAAATAGTGACAAGTACAACCAGGGGGATAAATAAGGGAATGCATAGGGCAAAAATTGCTGGTGCTTTTGTACTCTCGCAGAAATGCTCCACTGGGTCAGAAGTCTTCTGTAGGGAGAAGGCAGATCCTAGATCCTATGCTAATGTTTGCGAATATCATGGGGCAATGCGTTCCATGATAAAGTTACCATGGATGTGAAGTTAGAGGTTCAAAAATACATTTGTGGGCACACTCTGCAACATATTTCACCTTACTGTGCTGATTTGCAGCCAAAGTATTTTAACATACAGTATTTATTAAAAATTAAAAATGGAATAAAGTGTCCAAATTTTCCTTGCTTTTTTATGTTTCAAAAAAAAAGGGGGACTGCAATATTAAACCTTAAAATTGCTTTACATTATGTAGTGCTTTATTTTTTGCTGGCAGTACTCTGTTAGATAAGAGAGACTGCATACCGCCCCAAAACTCCAGTGAATGAACAGTTCAAATGTGTACAGTCAAAACTAATATGCCCCTGGATATGAGCCTGCATCTTATCACTTAGCTGCAAATAAGCCCCACAGAATACAAGAAGGCTTACCTCTGAGAATACATATAGAGATATGCTGTGTGAAATAAATAAAGCCTTCAGAGTTAAAAGTTATGAAGGTTTTCCCTCATCCATGTAGTCCTCCACAAACACAGTGATTTATAAAGATGATAATAGGCTTACTGTCAAAGAATGGTCACTGAGGCAGTAGGTGAATACTTGTGACAGACACAAGGAAACAAAACTGTCCGCTCTTAAGCTGCTTGCTGTGTCACACCTGCTTAAAACGTGAGCATCCTAAGTTGTATATATGTGTATGTATACACATGTAAATATACGAAAGCAATCTCTTTCAGCCTTTACAGCTACTACATGTCAATTTATATACAATTCCTGATTTGCAAACACTATTTCATTTATTCTCACCACATTCTGAGGAAAGTCACTATCTTAATTTGACTTTTACAGAGAGGGAGACCAAAGCCTTTAGGATTACAAAGTCTTAGTTCCAAGAGAATTTTTGAACCCAACAACTTAATAGAAAGGACAATGTTACCTTGCTCTGGTGTTTCCCACCACATTAATGAGAAAAAGCCTCCCTTTTTGAAGGCCTCTAGAAGGCTAGTGCATTTTTAACAATTTTGGAGAAAATACAAAGGTCCCCGCTTCACAGTGGTATATATGAAATTTCCAAGAGGCATATCTAATTGTGTCCTGGAAGGTAGATTTTTTTTTCCTGCCTGTGAGGTATTCTGAACCAGTGTTTGAAAATGTAATGGATTACTTTTTAAAGAGAGTGCCATTGTATTAATTTAGTTCACACAGGGAGTTTAAGCAATGTCAATTAAGTACATACATGCAGAGGGGGGAACCTCAGTATCATTCCATAGAAAGCAGGAAAAGAAAAGCCCCATGTAAACTATGGTGCCAGTTTAAAAAAAAAACAGTTCCCTCTTTAACTGCTATTTGTATCACTGTTGATGCCTCTATGGTCAGCTGTGGAGCCCCCCCCCCGAAGCCAATAGTCTGGGAGGGAGGGGATAAATGTTCTTACACCATACTCTTTATTTGCCTTTTATAAATTGCATACATTAATTATAGTGATTGCTGTCACTAATTAAATAGCAAATAGGGGGTTTACTAAATAAATAGCAGTGATTTAGCAAAAGAAATAGAAAGCTCTGCTGAACACCTCAGAGGCTGCTTCTCTGTCTTGGTGTTTTTCTAGTTTTTTTTTTTACCCTCATGCTCATAATCTCAGTTGTGGTGCCCTGCTACAGTGATACCTGAGACTTAACACTGCCTTTTTATCACTAACATTCCATCAGTTTCATTATCTCCTTCTGACAAATACCACACTGCTATTTCCTCTTGGACAGTTTGCTGCTGTGCCAAAGAGAAAATAAGAGTTTATAAATTATATGTACATTGAGAATCAGTGTGGTGATTAAAGACTCATGGCTATATTTTAATGTGAGCTTTAATGTGAGTCACTCTAATAGGTAGAGTGACTGACTAGGACCTAGGATACCTGGGTTCAAATCCCCATCGGTAGCAGAAACTCACAAGGGTGTGGCAATGGCATACTATTCCTTGGACATCTCCAATAGTTTGAAAACCATTAGCATTGATGTGTATCAGAAATGATGTGACAGCACATAAGAAATATACATTTTACTAAAAATTAAGTTTTGTGGAAACCCCCCCCCCAAT